AAGGAACAACGTCTTAATCTTTCTTTTTCAAGTTTTTATTTAAATTCCAGGGGCGCCTGGGTGGCTCAGTGGGTTAAAGCCTCTGCCTTCAGCTCAGGTCATGATCCCAGGGTCCTGGGATCGAGCCCTGCATTGGGCTTTCTGCTCAGCAGGGAGCCTGCTTCCCCCTCTCTCTCTGCCTGCCTCTCTGCCTACTTGTGATCTCTGTCTGTCCAATAAATAAATAAAAAATTTTTTAAAATTCCATTTAGTTATGATTACAATCTAATATTAGTTTCAGGTGTACAATACAGTGCTAGAAGACTTCCTTACAACACCTAGTGCTCATCCTAACAAGTGCCCTCCTTAATCCCCATCACCTATTTAACCCATCGCCCATCCACCTCTATTCTGGTAACCATCAGTTTGTTCTCTGTATTAAGAGTCTGTTTCTTGGTTTTCGGTCTGAAAGGAGAAGAAGAACCTGTTAAATCGGGAAGTGAACTGATGAGGTTTATAGTCTAAAAGATCACTTTGCCTTATTGAAAGCGAAATAAAAAGGAGCAAGAGTGTGTGTTGATAATTTGTCAAGAGGCTTTCATAGCAGTTTCATAGCATAGTAGTTTGGGATAGTGGAAATAGAGAATATGAATGGATTTGAGGAATATTTAGGGGAAAAATAAATATTTAGGGGAACTTCTAAAATAAGCTATATATGAGGAAGTGTCTGAGAAGATTCCTGAATGTTTTGACTCGTGTAAATGAATAAATGTTGTTGCCAGTCATGAAAATAGGAAACTTTAGGATATCTGGTTTGGTGTCATTCAGTTATTTAGATTTTGGACATGTTGATCATCGGGTGCCCATGAAATATCTATTTGGAGATGGTAGTTAGGCTATTCATGATGCAGAATTAGATCTTAGAGAAGAGGTTGAAGATATAATTTAGGAATTGGAGTAGCTTGAATGGTGTCTCCCAAAAGTCACATCAACTCAGAACTTCAGAATGTGACCTCGTTTAGAAATAGGATATTTATCGATGTGATTAGTTAGGATAAGGTCATACTGGAATAGGGTGGACCTTAAATCCAGTGAATGTCCTTATAAAAAGAGGAGAGAATGCAGAGAGACACAGAGGGAAGACAGCCACGTGATGACAGAGGCAGAAACTGGAATGGTACAGCTACAAGCCAAGGAATGCCAAGGATTGCCAACAACCATCAGAGGCTAGGAAGGGGCAAGGAAAGGATTCTTCCTAGAGCCTTCAGAGAGAGCATGGCCCAGCCCATACCTTGATTTCAGATTTCTAGCCTCCAGAACTGTAAGAGAATACCTTTCTGTTGCTTTAATCTACCGAGTATGTAGTAATTTGTTATAGCAGCCCTAGGAAATTACTAAAGGAATCGTCAGTGTATGTTGAGATACAGGTAAGATTGCCTAGGGAAAGCATACAGATAAAGCAGGGCTTACACACTGGCCCTCACTGATAGTGGGTGCCCCCAGACTCATTTTGGGCAGGTTTGACTGTTGTATTATGCCCAGATTATGCTTTAAATAGCAGTAAGACTGGCCAAATGAGATATTTAGTTACTATACAAATTGATTAGTACTTATTTTATTCTATCTAGCTGCTTCATACATTTATATATCAACTGAAATCATTTGAGTTTGAATCGGTCTTCAAAAAAGCATAAAGGGGAGATAGGAATAATCCTTATGAACATTAAGTACACACAAAATAGCAAACTATTAGGGGATATGAAGAGCATTAGACACAAGTAAGAGAGCATGCATGGTATCATGGAACCAGAGGGAGAGAATATTATAAAAGGAGTATCAGAACCTCCTGAAAATCCACAGTAAGAAAAATACCCATTAGGTTCTGTCTCATAGGTGCTAGTGGTGAGGGAAACAAGAACTATTGGAGTGACATGGTTAGATGTGTCTATTTTAAAAAGATAATGTTCTTCTTAATATAAAGGATATATATAAAGAATGGACAAGACAAAAGGAAAGAGAAATGGAGAATTAGTAAGTAGGTATTACATTTACCCAGTCATGAGCTAATGAAGATAGAAAAAGAAAAGCAGGTATAATTAAGAGGTTGTATATATAAGAACTTAGGGATTAAAGGAAAGAATAATAGAAGATGGTTCTTAAGTTAAAACTTGCTTAATTAAGTGGATAATAATATTACTAACACAGGAAGGAAGAACTAGTAGAAGCTCTCCTTTTATGAGATTAATGGATTTCTAAAGCCAACAAAAAAGAAATTGGATAGAAGAAAAAAATAAGTCTTCATCTATTCCAAAATTATCATTTAAAGATATCCTGAAAGTGATCCTAGGGAAAAGCAATTGATAAGAGAGGTTAATGCTAAGTGCAACTAGATTTAAATGTATGAACAGAGTTAACTAAGGGATTGATACATAACAGTAGAAACCTCGAGCTCTGTGACTTTGATTCAGGACATAGAAGTGAGCCTCCTTCTTCACTGCAGTCAGAATGAAGCTGCTGAAATGGATTCCAAAGATAATATTGTACCTGTACTTAAAAGGCTTTGTTTGACTTTGAGGATGTCCTGCCTCTCTATCAGTTGTTTGCACTTACTTTTAAGAAAGGAGCAAAGCTGTGAGACCACCATGACCTCAACCACAGAGGAAACTGTGATGTAGATTCAGAAAACTTCAAGGAGATTCCACAACCACGAGGTGTCCAAAGGAGAGAGGCTTTGATGGGATTTTACATAACCCTGAACCAAGGCTGGCAATTGCTATAAACTATAAAAGCCCTAGGATCTTCGGTGTTTTGGCTAGAGATTCAGGGAGCCATATATATCGAGTAACATTGTGCTTCTGCTATCACAGTTATGCAGGGTTGGAGAGGAAGCTCCCTTATACGCAATAAGTGTCCTTCTGTAGGCCTTTATTGTAGTGGAAAAGAATAGCTTTATGGGGCCTTAGGAACACCATAGCCATTCTTTACTCTCAATACCTTCATCAGTACAAGTTAGTGAACATGCAATAAAACCATCTTTTACTAGTCTCCATTTTTCTAACGATAGCCCCATGTGCTCAGCCACCTCCACTGTTGGCTTCCATATTTGTGTCATCTGAAATGAAGAGGGATACCAGAGGTCCAATGTATCCCTGCCTTCATCTTCCCTTTATTACTAGAAATCTGGGAATCCCAAAACTCAGTATTCCTCTGAATAATTCCCACCTATCATACCTCTACAATACACTCACAGCTTTACCACTGTCTAGGGACCGCCAAGACTAATCCCATCATACCTTTGATCTCTATTCCTATCTATAAGGAACAAGAGAATGGCTGGGGGAAAGGGAAAATATAGCTATTTTATTGGTTAGCACCTTTCCTAACTATTCTGAATAAAATAACACAAACCCATCTCTCTAGCCCCTTATGCTTTATAGTAAAATCTAGATATTTCTCATTTTGGTTAGAAATGGTTAGAAATAGAATTTGGTTAGAAGAATAAAAAACCTTGTAGTAATTTATTTTATTTAGTAGTAATCATGTCTCAGTCAAATTGTAAAGCCTTAAATAAGACTCAAACTGCTATTTCAAGTCATTTTGGAAATAGAGGAAGTAGTCCAAGGTCCCTAGAACCTGGAAGGGCTTTAAGGCTCCAGAAGTCCTGTGCATGTGTAGTTGAAATTGTTTATATAGCTTGGTGGTTAAGAGCATGGCCTCTGCAGTCCGTCCGATTGCCTCTGTTTAAACCCTATCCCACCATGTGCTTGATTTTGCAACTTAAGACAATTTACTTAACCGGCCTATGCTTAGTTTCCCTAGCTAAGCCATGAGAATAATAGTGTACCTACTTCATAGAGTTGCTGTAGGGACTAAAACTAGTTAATACATTTAAAGTACTTACAGTATTACCTCACAATATTAAGTGCTGTATAAACATTAGCATTATTATTATTTATATTCCCAGGGAAAGATCTGTATCTTCCAACTGATTATCAGTAAGGTCTGTTATAAATCTTAATTTATGAACAAAAGAAACCACTTTCACAGGCATATGATCTGCATGAAATTTAAACTTTCACTATTTTAATCAAAAGTCATTTTCATAGCAGCGAAATTTACTTCATGAATTCTACTTCAACATTATTTTCTTTTTGTTTAATTTTTATTTACTTTTTAAACAATATTTTCTTTTGAAGTGTTTTTATGTTTTCAAGGTTTTAGTTCTATTTCTACTTTTTAACCTAAGTTCTCACAGTCTTGATAAATTTAAGCTCTTATTTTTTAGGCTTCAATTTAAAAAAGAAATTTGTTTTCCTTTTCAAAATCCCTGTGTAATTAGTAGTACTGCATTAAGGGTTTGAACGTCAGCAGATTGCATTTGCAACTCTGTGAGTTAGGCAAAAGATATGTGTGATTAAGCAGTGAATGTTGATTTTTGTTGTTGTTAGTTAAACCATATATGCAACTGAGCCAAATTGCATCACAATTGAAAATATTACAGCCTGTTAATATAATGAAGAAAGAAGAGCTCATACAGCTGCTCTTTTCCTGGAAAGTGAATATAGTGGCTGAAAAAAAATTGAGGTTTCATCATTATTAGGGATGAATTAATATTGTTCTATAATAAATTACCAAATGTCATTTAATAAATCATTCTTTAGAAAGTCAGTTCAGCAGTAAATGTCCAGTATCTCATTACTTATTTCCTGTAGTTACACTGAACATGAAGAGTACTTCCATTTTAAATTGCTTTTGCTAAATCTGAGAAAAATAATTTTGGCAATTTGGTTAGTATCAGACCTAAAGCTTAAACACAAAACAGCTGTGGTTGAAAATACCACTTTCATAACATTAATATGCTTTCAATTAACAGATTGGAATGAACTGTTAAACATTACTACCTCCTTGTTTAACTACTGTTTGACTGTCAGTGACTGCTTTTCTTTCTCAATAGATTGTTTACTTTAACTGAAAGAGGAAGAACCTTATTTAAATAATCCATATTTTTCCCCCATCTGCAGAAAGTACGCAAGAAAAGTGGGGATTTCCAATGTGCCAGTATTTAAAGGAAGAGAGATGGTGCTGTGGTCGTAATGCCAGAATGTCAGCATGTTTGGTATGATTATGTTTTTTTCTGGACTAAGAGCTTTATCCAGATGTTGAGGAATTTATTATTGTTGGCTAATATCATGAATTAAGTGCCAAGTTTTGAAGAGCATCATTATTAATACTTTTGTGCATTGCAAATTTTAAGAAAAAAATGACTTGCCCTTCCAACATTATCTACTACTTTACAATTGGTAACAATTTATCATTATACTTTTTTACTTACAATTTTTATATACAATTACTTTAATTATCATAGAAAATATACCAACTTCCAAGTATTAAATACAGAATTAGTTCAGTGCTTTATTCACAGTTCTGTGCTATGTTTGTGTGTGTTTGTAGTAGATCATTTGGTCCCTTAATTTCTTATAGAATGGGAAAAATATTAATAAGCTATCTGGAATATGAAGTAACTATCTACTTAAATAAAACTTTTAAAGTGCCTAATTTGGCTAATGCCCTTAGACCTAGAACACTTTAGCATGTGGAATTCTCTGTTCGTGGGCCTATATTAGTTTATAAAGGATAAAAGCAAGTTAAAAAGTGTAAGTTATTTTTTGTCATGAGAAATTTAAAATATGGCTAGTTAATAATGTATTTAGTGTCTAATCCCAAGATAAATTAATTTCTGTGGCCATTATTTTTATGCCAGTTACACAGCAATATAAAAAATAGTACATTAGTGTTCTAGGTCATGGATCCTAGAATTATTTTAGAAATCTATTTATGCTCAAATAATAATTTTTGTAAATCTTCTTAAATTGCTTTTCTTAGAAATTGTCTTGTTCTTTCACTGTGTCTGTTAGTGGTATTTGTCCCGGGTCATGTATTTGTGACAGGTCATTCTTGGAATTACTTTGGTTCTAAGAATGCTGGCAACCAGGATTATACCCTTCAGGCAAGAAATTAAAATAGCCTCTCCTGGGACACCTGGGTGGCTCAGTCAATTAAGCATCTGCCTTTGGTTCAGGTCGTGATCCCAGGGTCCCAAGATCCAGTCCCACATCAGGCTCCTTGCTCAGTGGGGAGCCTGCTTCTCCCCCTGCCTGCTTCTCCCCCTGCTTGTGCTTTCACTGACAAGTGAGTGAATAAAATCTTTAAAAAAATTAAAAAAAAAAAAACTAAGAAAAAAAATAAAATGAAATAGGCTTTCCTAGGGAATCTCACTAGCCTAAGAGAAAAGACCTAATGATACTGGCATCAGGGATTTTACAATAAAGCAGGACATATGTCACCTTTATGATGAAGCCCACAATTAACAGTCCTCACTCAAAAGCATAATACCTCTAATCAGGTTTATGATACCCCCATTTTAATTATCAGGAGAGAGCCAAGAATCACTAGGTATCTAAAGAAAGTCTAACATGAAAGAACAGAGATGAGGTAAGCAGAAGAAAAGAAACTTGGAGGAAATGGAGACTAAATAAAATAAAATAATGTAAAATAACTATTAATATCTCTTAGATAAAAGAATATACTGCATTCACAAAACAAAAATGGTTGCTATGAAAATAAACATTCAAAGAAACAAAATGAAGCATTTGAAAAATGAATTTCAGAATATAGAATGTATAGACCACACTGCACTTAATAACTTTTCCTGACTAATGTCAGCTTCCTATGGAATGCCCTCTCCTTGGCTCCATCCCAGTCCCTGGCTACCTTGGCTTCTTTTTTGGAGTCCAAGAAACAGGGTTTTTTGGTGCATTTTTTTATTGCCTTTTGCACCATACCTGACCTTTTCCACAAGTAATCAAAACCTCCTGGGTTAAAAAAGAGAGAAAGAGACCTTTCTGGTGACACTTTGAGATAAATTGTTAAGGCTGCTAACCAGAGATAAAATTTTAATTAGATTAGTATAATCCTGTCAGCATACTTTAACCCTGATAAAACTTCAAAATATTGTAGATTAGTATGATATGAACACTTGGTTTATTTTCTTCATTATCTTTATTTATTGGCCAAGAAAAATATTAATGTTTGCAAGAAACTTCTTATCACCTACCTGGTTATCTTTTATTATGTCATCATAATTTATCGTTTGTATTTCTAAAATCCCTCATCAGCAACACCTACTAAAAGTAGTCTTGTTATTGACTACTTGTAACTAGTTTTACTTATCTAAAAGCAGATATTCTTACCAAGACCAAGCAACTTATTAAAAATTCTTGTTTCTTTATTCAATTCAGTCTTTTAGCAAAAGCTATAACACAAAATCTAATCTGAAATGAGCACAAACAGTACCGTAAATGAAAATCAATGTTTTCTTCAGTAATAAATTTATTCTGGGCCTCTTGCTGTTTAATTTAATAAGAAAATTATATAGTGTCTTTCGCCTATATTCATAAATCTGTGGCTCTAGATGTTCAGTGAAGGTATCCTTCAAATCAGTGGAAAAATTGCCATTTTTTTCTTTGAACACTTTCTGTGAAGCAACTTTTTATACAGTGAACTCATTTTCTCACTAAATCTTCATGGTGCGAGGGCAGGAGAAGTTAATCAGGGTTTAAAGAACAAGTTTTTGCCTCCTGCTCACTTGCTAACTAGCTATACAATGTCTATACAAAGGCGAGTACTTTAACTTGTCAGTGAGCTTGTACAGCTGCAAAAATTGTACTTACACAGAATAATCTGTAAGTTAGTTTTAGAAGTATATGATTCAGCTCTATCTTATAAGTATTATTTATGAAGAATAGCAATCTGAAGCAAAAATGAGTATTTTTAAATTGAATAGGAAATATACACAGATCTATTAATTTTACTACTTTGTGTTTGAAATATTTTGATTAGAATTTTTAAAATAAAGTTAAATATTAAAATATCTTAATCTCATTCAGTTTTAAAACTATGTAAGTGTGGAAATGTATGTCTCTTAAAAAAATGGAAGTTTTAGAAGCCTCTATTCCATATTTAAATTATGGCAAGTCTTTCATATATATCTTTCATATGTGTTGCATTATGAATATTTATTAGAAACATTAGGAAACATTTTCTAAAAATGTTCTGGATCTTAAATAAAAATATAAAACTAGCTATATATAAAATTGTAAAAATATGTATTATTTGTCTTCTACTGGGCACTTGAACATATGCGAACTTGATTTGAATTTGCAGACCAGGCAGATCAAAACTATACATACTTTGCTGAACTGAGTTTTCAACTACATTCTGTTCTGTATAACCGTGTATAATAAAATATGAAACCTGTTTATAAAATAATTAGATGAAAATAAGTTTAAAATAGTATGTAAACATATATATACACATATACATACATAATAATAGCTTTGGATTAAAAAATAGTAGCTTTGGATTTATTTGACTGTTTTAACTAAACTAAAAGCTATTTCATTTCTTTTCTGTTTTCTTATTTTTTTCTAAAATTCAAGGAGTGTATATAGTTGAGGTGTGTTTGTGCTTGTGTACATGACATACACCTATTATAAATCAACCCTAAATTATACAAGTAAACCAGTTAACAATGTTAATGACATTAACATTTTTAAATGTATAAACTTACATGTTGTCACTTAATTAATCTTTTTAAGTCACTTTTATAAGCCCTTATATAATGTGTTTATAAGTCTTATGAGGTAAGACTAAAAATATGAGCAGTATCTGTCTTATTTTTTTCTCCAAAGGCATTGGAACGAGTTGCAGTTGGCCAAGGGGTAAGTAAGAATGCTTACTCTAATACAACAGATGGACATAATAGTTTTCTTAAAGACTCTGTACATGACCTGCGGATGAACTTAAAACCTGATGACTTTTAATAAATATCACCTCTTCTTTCACCTCTTCATATTCAAATGTATACATTTTCTATAAGTTTACTTTAAAAGAGAAGTGAACTTTCAGAAAAAGTAAATTAACTTTTAAGAAAACTTCTACATTATATTCTTGTACTAATGTCTCATTTCTTCATAATATACTAAACAGTCTATAAATATTTCTAAAGGCTGTTGTTGCGGACTATTAGGCTTTTATGGACTTAGTTCAAGAGGTATATATATGGAATAGCATTCAGTTCATTTTTTACCTATAGTCCAAAACACACATTTTGTTGTTGTTTATTTAACTTTTTTCCTTGATTAATCACTAGTTGAAATAGCCAAATGGGCTTGTACATACAAAAAGAAGTTAAAAGTATCCCCAGAATATCCATGTAATTGCCTTATCCTCTACATTATAATTCATGAAATATACTAAGAATTTCTAAAAAATTTTTAAGAGTTCTTTTTAAACTTTTCACAAGAGTTTTCTTGTTAGACCTAAATTTTAGAAATCAGTTTTTTGCTTTTTTTTAAAGGATCATTAATGTCAATTTGAATTTTTTTAAAATAATAATAGTAATTTGAAAATGACAACAGCAACAAATATCATTTACTGAGTACTTACTGGGCACAATGCTAAGAACTTTAAAAAAATGTGTTCATAATACATATCTAAGTTGATAAAAACTGATTTTTAAAGGCATTAGAGCATATTTAGGTGTGTGGGCTTTAGTCTCAAACTCCTGGTTTGCAGTTAACAGCTATATTGCCTATCAACCTGGTGGTTCCTTAGGGATATAGAAGAGGAAAGAGCCTTTATCATAATAATGTTCCTGTGCATTTTTGTGATGTTTTTCAATTTCCCAAGTGCTTACTCATGTTTACAGTCAATCTTATAAGTTGGGTATTATCCCAGACTTGCATGAGAACATGATACACAGCAGAAGTTTAATAGTGCATTCTAGCTCCCTTAATTAATTGCAGAGTCACTGACTTCCGGCTTAGTGCCCTTTCCACTAAACCTGTAAAATGCATGCCTAAGATAATATACTTTAAGGGTGTGCTCTTTTTGCTCCCTCCCATTTAAGATGCATTAAAGTGTTAAGTTGATTTATCACTTGTGAAGGAAAGAAAGCAAACTCTGAGCCACATCCAGTTTATTCTTGAAATAGTCAGACACACAGTGCGGGGGCGATGTTGATTCCATTCCCACTTACCCCGCTCCATCTTTACCAGGATGGATAGTCCTAGTTATTCTAGGAATGCACATTTGAAGGTACTTCATAACTCTCTTCCCTTTTTCTTAGGAAACAGCTGTAAAGCTCTTATTTACTCAGGATAACTTGGGAATGACGATTTATTCTATCCTGTTTGTATTTCTGTATGCATTTCTGTGTGATCTCTTATTTAAATGCATTTCTTGGGGTTTTGGGATTTTTTTGTTTTGTTTTGTTTTGGTTTTTGGTCATCTTCAACCAGTTTTTAATGACAGTATAAATATACATTTATTTCTAAATTATCTTGATGTGTTTATGTAATTTTTTCTCATAGGTAGGGAATGAAAAGCTTTAATTTTTTTAAAGATTTTATTTATTTATATGACAGAGAGACAGAGGTTGTGACAGAGAGGTTGTAGGCAGAGAGGCAGGCAGAGAGAGAGGGGGAAGCAGGCTCCCTGCTGAGCAGAGAGCCCAGTGCAGGGCTCGATCCCAGGACCCTGAGATCATGACCTGAGCAGAAGGCAGAGGCTTAAAGCACTGAGCCACCCAGGCACCCTGGAAAGCTTTATTTTTAAGAGTTTTTTTGGTTTTTGTTTTTAGAGAGAAAGAGAGAGTGGAGGGAAGGGGAGAGGGGGAGAAAGAATCCTTAAGCAGATTCCCCACTGAGCATGGATCTGGACAAGGGGCTCAATCCCAGGACCCTGAGATCATGACCTGAGCCGAAGTCAAGAGTCAGCCCCTTAAAGACTGAGCCACCAAGGCACACCATATTTTTAAGAGGTTTTTCCCCAAATGACGTGCATAATAAAACTAATGATACCTCATCCCTGCTCAAGTGTCCAAGAGGCAAAAGAGCATCATGGCTTGGTACAGGGACATCTGAGCTAGGCTTCTTCAGTTCAAATACCAGCTTGACTATTTTTAGAATTGCATATAATATTTACATAAAATTAAACTTCCTATTTATTAGATAGGTAACCAAATAAAAATTTAAAACTTTGTAAGCCATTTATAATACTAATGCTAGTATTTTACTTCATGTAATGTTGTATTTCCCAGAATGCCTTGAATATCAATAGAATAATAGGTGTTAATGTATGAAAGGGGATTTCAGCATTTTTGTGAGAAAACTGAAGGGATTTGGGGAAAGTGAGGAACAGATGATAGAGATTTTTGGTACTGCAAAAAAGAATTACTCAAGGTGAAAAAATGCCAAATGAAAAGTATATCCAGAGATGGGAAATTTAGAATAAAATGTTTTGGAGCAGTCTTCCAGAAAAAAACTTTAGAAATTTGTTTGTCTTAAGTCAAAGAGTGGTATTTAGAAAGAAATTTTATATAAGAAGTGTATCTTTTGAAGGATATAAATTTTATTGTGGGCACTCAAGTATGTGTGTATATCTGCTGTCAGTGTGTTATTTTAGGAGCTGAATTGGAGACTGTGGTATTTCTAACCCCATTTATGACTAGAATCACCCTCTCCACTATTCCCACCATCCATAAAGGATATACCATGTGTTCTTTCGAAGTGTCCTATCAAGATCCTGCAAGTCAGACATTGCCCAGTGACTTAAGAAGGCAGTGCCATTAGGTGAAGAGTGGAGAAATAATGGTTGACTCTCAACTCCCAACTTGTGTTTTTTTGTAGTTTCAGTACCAGGGGCCCACAGTGTAGGAACTTGAGGTAAGGTGAGTGGAGAGGCAGTAGCGTTTCTGCCTGAGCACACAGGCAAGATTTTATTTTGTGCTTAACTCCATCGGAATCCAAACAGATAAAAATAACAATTTTGTGCTCTGAAGGAGAATAGAACTTACACAAGGATAACTCAGAGAATATATACTGACCTCTGTCTTTAAAACTTTACGAGTCATTGCACAGTTTGGAGTTTTCACCTTATTAGTCTTAACAGAACCATTCAATATTGTTGACCTCCCTCTACTCTGGCTCATTTTTTTCTTTTCTCTTCTTTTCTTTTCTCTTCTTTTCTTTTCTTTTCTTGTTTTCTTACTTTTCTTTCTTTCTTTCTTTTTTCATTAGTAACTTGGCATGGAACCAGGGTTCTTGCTGATCTTGATATTTCTTTTTTTTTTATTTTTACTATGTTATGTTAGTCACCATACAGTATTTGATATTTTATATTGGATTTATTTATACTGTCAATATTAGGAGGTCTGTGGGGATGTGGTTGGAGTTTGGGTGACTTTTGTAGTTTTTTAGTTTGATTACCACTTGCATTTTTTCAGTGAAGTGTTTTATGTTATGTATAATACCTTTTTTTTTTTTTTTTTTTTTTTTTTTTTT